GATCACCATCATACTGACTCGCTCGAACCACGTGAGCCGGTTAAGGAGAACTCTACTAGTGCTCGATGCAATGATTGTGTGATTGTGTACAGCACAGACGAACAGAAAACATCACCACAGCCAATAAACCAACACATTCATAATGAACCAATAGAGAGAGAAACTGAACCAGTCTGAACCATTGACATGCATACACCATCAATTCATGTTCTATTACAACAGAATTAATGCATTAAACGAATAGTGTTCACACAATTTTATTCATCAAGGACACATTAAATTGATCAAAAGTGAGGGTAAAGACATTTAAAATTATAGAAAATATTTCAATTTCAAATAAATGCTGTTCTTTTGAACTTTCTATTCATCTGTGCACTTCACTATATTCACACAGAAAACAGTTATTTTAAATAGAAATAATATTTCACATTTTCACTGCATTTACTGTATTTCTGATCAAATAAATGCAGCCTTGGTGAGCAGAAGAGACTTCTTTCAAAAACATAAATCATACACCACCATTTGAAAGTTTGGAGTGAATTTATAAAGTGAACTGGTGTAATTTTATCTATTAAAGGAGTCGAAATAGTCTTTCTATAACACTATGTGGAGGGATTGCATGAGTTTTGTGTGTGTTTGTATGAACGTGTGTCACCAGATGAGCGCCAGCTCCCGAGGATTCATCTTCATCTGCGTTTCTTTGTTTATTTGTCTATCGCTCGTCAAAATGTTTACTGTTCCAAAGCAGCTTTACAGAGTTTCAAGGCGTAAAACACAGAGTCTGACTAATTCGATACTGAATTCATTCCTGGAGCTCAGCAGCATCAGCTCATGCGCTGTAAAAGAGCAGCGTGAACATTCTGCTGAACGACTCCTTTAGGGTTTCACAGAAGAAAGGAGTCAGTCATACAGGAACCACATGGGGGGGAGAAAATGATGACTTTCTTAAAAACTAATGTTTATAATATCAAATGTTTAAAGAGTTCAAACAAATGTCAGGTAATCTGCAGTGAATGTGAGGCACAGGTGGGCAGTGGAGCTGCTCCGTTACCATAGTAACACCTCATTCATCCAGCAGCAGCAGGTCAGACACACACAACTCATTCAGTCATTATTCCACAATGAGGAGTTATTTCTCTTAAGGCCAGATGCTAGAGGTGAACAAGGTATCAGATCTCACCACACTTCAGCAGCTGATTCATCATGACTAGAGTTTTGTCTCACAAGCTTTCTGAAAAGATATGTTTAAGTATGCAAATGAGGCATTATATAATGAAATATGCACTCATTTGCATACACTTCCAAAGCAGGAATCTGAACATTAGATAAAGTCATGCTTTTCTTTGTTGACATGAAGGTTTTTCCAGAGGGGATTCTGGATTTCTCGTTTTATCACTCCATAAACCAAATATATTTTCACCACGTTTTTAGAAATAAACGTTAAATACTGCATATATAAATAGGAATATGTACCAAATCCCTCAGTAAAAGCCTTCAGAATATAGAGGGGAATAAAACTAAAGTTTGGCGTGTAAAAAAAAAAAACTCTTTAAAGATATGGATTGGAATTGAAATCTACATACACAAACAAATAAAACAAAAAATAAAAGAATAAAAATAAAACACTTAAACGTGTATTTTGGATGCTTTTTTCCACTAGTCTGATGGAAGCAAAACAGACCAATACTGACCAGGGAATGAAGAAACACTGACCTAAATGCTTCTGTGCAGTAGATGCTCTAAGAATTCATCACGCTGCTTCAATAAACTATAATTAAAGTTGATATGGTCAGTATGGTGATTTCTTTTGATAATTGATAAGACTTTAGTATAATTTACTAGTTCCATTAACTCACATCTAGTTCCATTAACTGCACATGACATTAAACGCTTTGAATCTCCATCTGTGACTCTGAAAGTGTTTCTCAGTCTGAGCGCTGAACTCAGGATTTCAGCAGACGTTCACATGCTCTCTTACACTAATGCTGAACCATAAACAGATAATCGTGAGGACACACACACACAGAGAGAGAGAGAGATCTCCATGAAAGCACATTAAACAGAACGAGCGCTGGTCTGTATGAGTCTCATTATGAGCGTATGAAACCTTCATCAGCGCTTCTGTCCCGTCATGAGAGTGAATCCAGCTCTGGTGTCACTCGACGCTGATCTGGGGTCAGTAGAGAGGACTCAGGCTCTATTTATACAGCGGCTCCAGCAGAAGCTCACGAGTGCTGACTGAAACCGGCACAATAATGAAGGCCTTTCCCAGAATCCTCACTGAGCCGGATTGGAAATTGGAGTATTTGAGGAAGATCCGGAGACAAACTGCATTTACATATCACACACACACACACACACACACACACACACACA